GTGGGAAATACTTCAAAGAATCAACAACTGGGATCTCATCTTATTGAGAAGTTTTTGCACATCAAAGGAAATCACCAACAGAGTAAAAAGAAAACCCATGAATTGGGAAAAAATTTTAGTTAACTACCCCATAGACAAAGGATTTCTATCTAGAATATATAAAGAATTTTAAAAAATCAAGCCCCCAAAATTCAAAGACCCAGTCTAAAAATGGGCATCTGAGATGAATATGCACTTCTCAGATGCAAAAATACTAATGATAAATAAATATATGAAAAAATGTTCAACATTATTATTCATTCAAAAAATGCAATTTAAAGCAACACTGAGATTCCATCTCACCCCAGAAAGAATGGCTATCATTAAGAAATCAACCAATGACAAATGCTGGAGAGGCTGTGGGGAAAAAGGAACCCTTCTCCACTGCTGGTGGGAGTGTAAATTGGTGAAACCACTGTGGAAATCAGTGTGGAGATTCCTCACAAAACTAGGATTAGAAGTCCCACTTAACCCAGCTACTCCCCTTCTGGGTATTTTCCCAGAAGAATTAAAAACATCATACCACAGAGATATATGCACACCCATGTTTATAGCAGCACAATTTGTCATAGCTAAACCTTGTGCTTGGTCTTAACGGCTGTCCTTGGGTCTCTCTGCTCCTAATTTCATTTCACAAGGCCTCGCTCATGTCTGGCACTGTAGTTTAAATTGAGAGTACTGGAGACCCGGGCCCCAGTCTCACCCATCTGCTGCTGGGGCACATCTCTAGGTTACCCTCAGTCTCCTGGTGCTCAGAATTAAGGGTGATCTGGGGGGATGAGGGCGGGGGGAAATAAGGAGGGGAGAAATCCGTGGAATGAAGCTTGTGGCCAAGACAGAGAGGCCTTTGAGCCTGTAACACAGCCATAGAGCTCTGAGACCCAGCACCTCCCCTTTTGAGGTACACAGCTGCAAGGAGGCGTCATAGCAATGCTGATGCTGACAGCGTGGCACTGCTTCCCACTCTACCTATGTACCCTCTGTCCCAGTGACAACCATGGGAGGGGAAATGCTGGCCCCGAATCTTAATGACAACCCTCACAAGTGCTTTCATTAAAGAACATTGACTTAGGAGCTCAAGCTCTTGGGTCCCAGAGCTAGTCCTGAAAAGCAATCACAGTCTGATCTTGGGCTCATCAGTTATTCTTTCTGGAACCCAGACTGTTATATCAGTATTTTAAATTTTTATTTTATTCACACATGTTTGCAGCACATCATGAATACATTCACTGTGAGTAGTGGGTACATGTACGTGACACATTTTATTTTTTTCACCTCCCCTTCCTTTCCTCCTTACCCTTTTCTCCGTCTCTTAGACCGCCTCCCATTTTCCAAAGCTCTACCTAGCTCTTTCCTATTGTCTATCTTTTATTTTGTTCTCTGATTTACTTGCATTTTGAGTCTCTCATGTAAAAGAAACCTTAACAAGTAATAAAAAAAAATTGGAAATGATGCAGAGCTTCACCATTCAAGATGGTAGGAGTTCAGCAACGGTTCTTGGGGCTGGGGATTTAGCTCAGCAGCACAACACCTGCCTGGCAAGCCCAAGGTCGTGAGTTCGATCCTGGTACAGGAAAAAAGCCCCCCCTCCAAAAAAATGGTTCTTATGAAACCAGATTATTTCTAAGCCTATGTGCCTGATCTATTTGATTTAACATTAGGAATTCAAGGTGCATCCATTTCATTTATTTAAAAATATATCTATTATGGTCTTAACATACAGCCACTAATTCTTTGATACTCCCTCACCCAAAGATGGAGCTTGATTTTTCTCCCCTCGAGTCTGAGTTGGGCTTGGTGACTCCTTTTTAAGAAACATGGAAAGGGAAGCACAGCTTGCAGGGGAGAATCCTGGGAAAGGACATCACAGCCAAGTGACCAAGATGAGAATCATCTACAAGTCATGTTAACATACCGTGCTCCCTAAGAGGATATGACACAAAGGGAACATCAGCTCTTTGTGATTCTTCCTCAAAAGCCGCAACCTCAGACTATCTGAGAAAACAACAGACACCCACACTGAGGAACATCCTACAAGATACCTGACCATTGCTCTTCAGAATTGTTCAGGCCGTGAAAGACAAAGAAAGACGGTAGAGCTGTCAGAGAGGGAATACCAAGGAGAATGACAGGTACATGCAATGCAGGGGCCTGGAATGAAAAAAGGTTAATAGAAAAGCTAGGAAAATCTGAACCAAGTCTGCAGTTCAGTTAGTAGTCTTGCACCAATGATAATTTCTTGGGTTTGATGAACGCACCATGGTTGTGCAAGATCTGAACATTAACGTCAGGCACTGTCTCATCAGTATCTACAACTGTCCTGTAAAACTCTCTTACTTCAAAGAAAAACCATTTGTAAAGCTTATTCCTATTTAAATAGCAAATTTTATGAATATTTTCCAACACACATTAATTATTTCCCAGGCAGCAAAAGGTCATCAATTCAACATTGTAAAATAATTCAAAGTAATTGCTCTAAACCCACAAAGGACTATTGAAAAGGGTTTTTACTTCAGCTGAAAATAATCTATTTGGAAGGCTATTTGGCAATGTGTAAAAACAATCTTAAGCTTTCTTATACCCTTGGACCTAGAATTCTCACTTTAAGAATATATCCTTAGGGAATAATTAGAGAATACTATTGAGAAGTATGTATTAAAAGCCTGCCATTGTGTTATTTTCCGTAGTTATCTAACCACGGCATGGGTGGATAAATTATGGCACAAGCATATGCTGGACGAGCCTCCCCACAGTGCTCTGCGGTTGAAGGCCTCCAAAATCCCTGTTCCACGCCCTGTCCACCCTTCTACCTGACTCAACACAGGGGGACTCTGCTGCTCAGACTGGCTGGGAACCCAGTGTGGGCACACTGGAAAACTGCAAACATAAAGTTATATTGTAAACCTCAGGTACAAGTCCCAGGGGTTTGACATGCCCAGAAGAAGCCTCCTTTTCTGATAGAATCAACAGAAGGCAAACGTCCTTGAAATGTCTCCCTCATTTCTTCAGTACTCAAGGCACGTCCTTGTGTGTCTGTTCTACAGCAATTGATGTGCTGGGCACAGACACATGGAGAGAACAAAACAGGCATCAGCTCTGCTTCCTGTGGCTTCCAAGGAGAAGACAGAGACATCACACAAGGGAACAGGACACACGTCCAAGTGGAGGCGACTGCTATGAGGCAAACAAAGGGATGACTCGTGTCCCACCAGAGAGAATAACGGGCCTGGTTTCAATGGGAGTCTCAGGGAGGCCTCCCTGAAAAGGCCTGAATCTGAGGGACGCAGCGGGGAGAATGTTCCAGGAGGAGAGGAGGAAAGGCGTAGGACAGGGAGAGACTGGTGGAGCTGGGGCTGACAGAAGCCAGCATGGCTTGGGTATAGGGAGTGAGGTGATCTGGCCAGGTCAAGGCCCACTGCCCTAGGGAGTCAGAAGCCAAAAAGCGACTCTCAGAGAGACAAATGGCCACTGAGAGCTGAACCGAGTAGACGTGGACACCACCACAGGAAACTGCCTGAGTCAGGGGAAAGCTGGTGCTTCGAGTCCCCAGATACCCCTCTGAACAGAGCGGTATCCTCCTCATGCAACTTCAGTAATCAAGGGTAAGAAATTTGCGATAACTTATTTTAACAACTCCAAATGTTTTGTGTTGTGACTAAGCAATGTTTTTTAACATAGGATTGTTTCTGTGGTCTCTTGATTGTGAAAAAGGAGACATGTAACCGTGGCATCCAACTGCAGGAGAAACTATGTGCTTTGTGGGGAAAATATAAATATAAACTTAATATAAAAACACAGCATGGCACTGCTGGGATAGCATATAAGAAAATAATGTATGGGTAAGCAAAAGGAAACAGAAAAAGACACACTAGCCTTTTTTTTTTCAAAAGATAAAGTCATCCAAAATGTGTAGCACTAATTGGAAAGATGAGTTTCACTAAAAGCATTTAATGCCTGTCATATGGCAGATCTCTTATGAATGTCCCAGGTAATTTATTACCTTTACTTATCTAGCAGATAATGTGAAGGCCATTTGAGGAATGTTTTCCATTTGCTTTTTCCTTCAGATTGGCCTCTTATCTCAGTTATGGCCTTTCAAATCATCTCTAAGAGCACCAAGGAATGGGCCTGATATGAGTAGAGGTGAATAAGCTGAACCGCTAAAAGACACCCATAACTGCCCTCCCTTCCCTGGGAAGAGAATCCAGAGAACTGGAAACATACCCTTCATGACAAAGAGGAGATCGCTTGATTCTTAGCAATGTTCTCCGTAAGCAAAAGGTAACAAAATAAAACAAAGGTTATCTTATTTGCTGTCTCCATCCAGAGCCACAAATATCAATAGATCAGAAGTGTTTGTGAGCCCTAACTCAGAGTGGAGGGGTGCTGACCACCACCGGCATTACAACAAAAACGCAGCTCACGATACCCCTGAAAGGAAGTTATGGAGCATCACAAACCATCTCCACCAGAATGGGCTTCCTACATCTGAGATTTGGATGTGCCACAGATAGAACAGTACACCTCTTGAGTAATTCCACTGCCAAATAAATTTCAGCTCTCACTTAAAACCTGGAAGCTATGAAGTCTTAAAGATATCATGGGAAGATTCTCTTTCTGTTATCGTTGGAACACTCTTCTTCCTCAAACACAAGAAGGACGTAGTAGTAGAACCATGTCTCTTTACATGCCATGCCCAAACCAAAGAAGTGATTCATTATGAGGTTTCCACAAAAGTGAAAGTTATAGACACCTATTTCTAATCCTCCACATCTGGTAATTTGTATTAGAGTTTCCTGCTTTCATCTCAAAATGTGTAACTAAAAAGAAAAAAAACAAAAAAAAACCCAGTATTCTTTTAGGATTATTTTCCTTCCAACAAGTAGACAAAATCAGCCAACAACAAACTGGAATCCTGAAAGCTGAACAGCCAGTCACACGGTGCTTGGGAACAGGGTTACCTGCGCACTGACCACAAAGACCAGAGAAGTGGCCATGGTAACGGCGAAGGACTGGTAGTCAGCCACATGCTGTCCGTCTTCTCCAGCTGCACTGTAAAAGGCCCCGTAGGGGATGAAGAAAAGGGCTAATGAGGTGTAGATTCCATGCGCCATGCAGATGAAGAATTTATGCTTGTTAAAAAGTAGGTTCAGCTGCCCAGGTTCATAGAGCTGGGGACAGTCCATGCTGTTCTGGTCACTCACATCCTGTAAACAGAGTGTAATTTCAGTGGGGGTGGGGCAGAGTGGAGGACAGCCAGAGAGGCCCTGTATTCCTTGTGTCCAGAAATAGCAAATGCCTTTTAAGCATGCCCGAATATGCACTGGGCCAGAACAAGACATTATCTTGTTTTCTTTCCTGCAACAGCCCAGAAGATAATAAAATGATCTCTATTGTACAGGGAAGGAACTTGAATCTCCAAAAGAAATTCATGAGAGGTCACACAGATCTTAAGGAGCAGACACTGAACTTGACTTGACTTGAACCCAGATACTTGGATTGAAATCAAAGTTTCTTTTCTGCACTCCCCTGCAGTCAGCCACGGCTGCAGACTCCTCAGGAGTTTCCAAAATTCCAGGACACCTGTGTAGCCAGGGGACCGCAGGGGATTGCCCACGTGGTGAGGGGTAATGGCCAGCAGGGGGCAGCAGAGCTGTGGAGGCAAAACTGCCACTCGGAACCTAAAGTGGGCTGAAGCCTAAGGGTTAGGACCTGAGTGTTTCATCCAGAGAGCATTCAACAGCGGGTACCAAGGATTCAGGACAAGGAAACTCGGATGCTTGGCACCAACCACGTCCTGAAAAACCCAGCGCGATGCTTCTCAGTGTGCGGGTGACTCTCCTGAGGAGCAGATGATGACTCCACAGCCCAGCGAGCCCGAGACTGATTTCCAGCCAGCTCTAGAGTAACGCTGATCTCCACACTGTGAGACACAGCCAAGCACGCAGAACGAACCAGGAAGCAAGAATCCAGCCCTGGGAGCACCAGAGGGCTGTGGGTGGAGGAGAAGCAGCTAGAGGTGGTGAACCCGGTGTGCTGGTGGGGATGTGTAATCTAGTTCCACTTCCTCCTTATGAGATAGGCCAGGCCTCACCAAACCGGGCTTCCTGCAGAGTGCGGATGTGTTCTCTTCGGGAAATCCCGCTTTGAGACCCCATCAGGGCCCCTTGTCCCGGTCTGGTGACTGGCAGGGTTATGTGCACAGGCTTTGAAGCACGCAACCGCATAGCTTGAGTTGAAGTCTGGTAACAGGTTAGCCAGGGCCTAGTCTAAGACCTGTTATTTAACCACTTTGAGCCTCAGTTTCCCCATCTCCAGACACACAAACATAACACCAGCCTCCCAGAACCACTCCTGTGATTAAATGAGATGTAAAACACGCAGGAACCCTCGCCACACCCAAAGCAATAGCATATATGGGTAAAATAATAATAAATAAAATAATGATGGTAATAAGAACTGATAGCAAAGTAACAACGCAGGAACCCCAGTGCCAAGTGGCCTGGTTCTAGGTGGTTCAGTCACTTATCAGCCGCGTGACATGAGAAGAATGACTTGAACCTCCAGCACCTGACTCCTCGCAAAATGAACAAACTGATAGATGATCACCAAGTCCCTTCCAGCACAGGGTCCTGTGATCACATGACCAGCATAAGGGCCAAAACTGACCAAGCAGGAGAGGAGAGGAGCAGACATCCAACTTGATGGCAATAGGAGCTTTATTATATTTTTTTGAGTTGCACAATAACCATGTTTTCCCAGAAACTGCTTTATTTTTATTATTTGATTCCACCTTCTGGGAAGCTACAGAGCACCAGGAAAAGAAACACTTATAAACATGGGCACTTGGACGTGCATGTGCCTAATCCTTTACATCCAAGGTCTTTGGAAGTTCATCACTTTTGAACAATTCCCCCCAAATGTGCCTTTCACAAGCTGCCCTTCCTACACAGGCAAAGTGAGGCTTAGAACTGACTGCAAAGCCTGCAGCGCGGCAAGTGAGCCCAGTGAGCTCAGAACGTGAAGATCTGTATTTTGCAATTGGTGGCATTAGGCCAGAAAACGAGGCCTTGCAAATGGATCTAACAACAGCCGGGAGAAAATCTGGTCTCCTTAAAAATACTTCAAAACAACAAAAAGCCCACACTTCCAAAAATAATATGCTCTGATTGTGCCATAGCAACTGAACTGTGTAGCCGTCCACTTCCCCACAGGCAAAAGGAGGCACCTTCCAAGGCTCCTGGAGTGCCAGGGTACCATGTTTATGACTGACCCCCTCCTCTGTCTCTTCTCAAGTGGGTTCTCACAAGAAATCATGCTCCTCCTGTCCTGGCAGTGGAGGTTTGTGTGGTCCTCTCCTACTGTGACCCTGTAGGACAGCCCATTCTGGGGCTGTGCTGGCCAAGTGCCTCTCCACCTGGGCTAGATTTCTGGGCTGCAGCCTGGTTCCTTGGTTTCCTGTCTACACCGCATGGTCGTTCTTTACAAAGCCTCAGAGGCTATAGGAGCATCTCACGGGGTGTGAAGCAAAAGGCACAATACAGAGCAAAAAGGAGAAAGGCAAAAGGACAGTCACTGAAATTCAGACAAAGCTGGGTTAAAATAAAAGAGACTACTTCCTGCAGGACTTCTCAGAACCTTTATATCAATAACGCGAGATATGAATCTCTAAGAAGAGAGGAGTTGAAGTCTGGCCAAAGAACCCTTTAGGAGAAGCAGGGTCAGGGGACCTGCAAGGGTCTGCGACTCATGCAACCTCGTTTAAGATAGCTGCATTTCTAGAGCGCTTTCCAGGAATGTCTTCCACCAAGAAGCTGGAAGCAGCTGAAAGGTATGACAGAGACACTGTGCTATGAAGTAGAGAACACGTACCTGGTCAAAAATCCCCATGGCCAAAACTGGTAATGATGTGTAGACAATGTTGAAAAGAGTGATGAACCACTGGTCATACACAGTCTGAAAAGAAATAACATGTCCATGAGGAACGCGGTCCGTATTAGTAAGAACACTCCCTTTCAGGCTCTTGGGTTAACTAACCCGAGTCGCTGAAGAGTGGAAGTTAGCTCCTGGAGACAGACACACGCGCATTCTCCCTGAGGCTCTGCCTCTGCTCAGCTCCATGAGCTTTGTGGAACACTAGATCTCTCTACACTTCAGCACTTGGTGTCTGAGTGATCCCACTGTCTCCCCACAGAGTGGCAGAGGGACAAGATGAGATAATGTAGGTTAACACCTGCACACCGCTGCCACGGGAGAGACCTCAGACTCAATGGTGGCTTTCTACTCAGCTCTGTGCTTGGCAATGGCTTATCGTAAGTTCAGATATCTGACCTAAGTGACAAACAAAGGATCCACTAGAATCTGTGGAGGGAGAACAGCAACTAGCCTGTTATCCCTGCCTTGTGTTCCAATGGAGACGTTTTCTTGGGAGTGCTTTAAAGCAAGGTGAGAAGGAAACCAACCACTAGGTATAAGCAAGAAAGGCAAGAAAAATATCCCTTCACACCTGTGTAGAGTAAGTTACACAAGACATCCTTACATGAGCCTCACTGACGTCGAGGAGGCATGAGGAACAGACATTCTGTCCTCACTCCGTTGATGAGTACTGGAGATGTGAGAACAGGATCTTTCAGAGGTTCTCCCTGTAGTCATAGGTAAACATTAAAATTGAGGCCTCCAGCTCCAAAGCATCTCATTCATCCACTCTGATCTCACTGGCTATTCATTCATTCACCCAGTATTTATTGAGAAACCACTACATGCCAGGCCCTAGGTTCTAGGCAATGATGCTTCTAACAATCACTCAGATAAAAACTTTGTCATGGAATCTGCAATTGAATGGTGGTGGGGAGGAGACAACAAACAAGATCAGATCTTATGGGGGGGGCGTGAATGAATGAGGAAAATAAGCACCAGGGAGGAAAAAGTATAGAGATTGAGAAGTTTTTAATTGTCAGAAAGCAATCAAAGAAGGTCTCACTGGGGAGTGACCACGGAGATGAGATCCGAAGGAGAAGGCTACTGAATATACTGCTTTCTGCGACAGAGGCATCAGTGAGACAGCATGGAGTGTGCTGCAGAAAATGGGGACGTGCAGGTCATTCTTAAAGGCCCAGCCCCAGCCTATTCTGTGGTGTTGCAGTGGATTTCTTCAGAACCGGATAACAGAGACACTATGAACTACACCGACCACTGCATTCTGAGCCGTCCTCGGCAAAGCTAGCGCCTATGGGGAGGAAGGAAGACCCTGAATATTCCCGCTGTCCGCATCTCGGAGAGCTGTTAGGGCAGAATCAATCTTGAGAAAGAACAGATGGGGAAAGGAGAGTAGGCGGACGGGTGAGGGAGAGAATTGTTTTCATTCTCTGTGTATCTTGGAGTTTGGGCCTGGAATTCACGTCGGAAAGAGCTCCTTGACATCATTTTCTTTGAGGGGAGGCCAACACGAGGCAAGGAAGATGAATTCTACCACCAATAGCCAAGACAGAAACTGGGCAAAGCAACCAAGAGAGGAACTACCGTCAAGCAGCCCTGGCCTGGGACTCAGAGCAGCCATTCATCATCACCAGCTTCGAGTTCTCCACATGGTAGTTCCCTTTTGTCACTCCCTGAGGCTCGCCGGCTTCATCATCTGCTTGGAACCTCGCCGATGCAAGGGTTGGAAAAGGGGGTCTGTGTCGTGATGAGCATTTAAGAAGTGGCTTTTTTAAAAAGGCGTGATCTGAAGCATTTTCAGTTTCCATAGACTCCAGGCCCTCCAGAGCTGATTTCAAACAGTGCTGTCACTCAGTGCAGAGTTGGGCAGAGGGGCACCATAGCATGGCATCACACAATGCGCCCACCAGACAAAGCCAACAGAGGCATTCCCAAAAGCATGAAGAGCAACGCATGGTAAAACAATTAGGCAGTGATGAGTTGTGAGTGTATGGATTTTTGTTTTGTTTTTAATAGAATTTAATTAAATTATAAATTTGTATAATTTAATTTTTAATAATGCCTGTAGTTAACCACCAGCTCATAAGATTTCTGCCAATTTAACAGCTAGCTCTTGGAAAACCAGAATGGGCCAACTAAAACACACCACAGCTTGTCTGCACTGGGAGCAAAATGGGACAAGATGGCAACGGTCACCTGAGGGATACAAGAAGCACCATGGAAACTGCAGAGGGCAGACGGTTGTGCAGAGACTCGGGTACCCACGAGTAGAGGCCAGGAAAGCTTTCTGGTTCTCCCTGGAAACCCCTAAGTTATTTTAGCAGAAGTTTCTGCAACAAGCTTACACTACCCATATAGGGCGGGGGGCATGTGCCAAAGCAGTTAATTCACACCACACTTCCCACTGACGACAACCCCAAAAATCTGAGACATCAAAAGAGCACCTCTTCAAAGCGTCGGGGAACTAACAAGATAGTGGGGAATTACCTGTCAAGATCAAGGAGCGAATTAGAACTTACTAACTATTTCCAGGCCTTGGGTGTTCTTAGCTTTCTCCAGAGATACTCTTCATTTGCCTCAACCAGCAGCTGCGGGTGGGAAGAAGGCCAGCCAGCTGTCCTGTGACAGTAGAGCCTATGACTACACTACCAGGAGGTCCCAGCCCAGAGTGGGAAGCGAGCCCTTAGGGTCTCTACCTTTGGTGAGCAGTGCACCTTGTCCCTCCACCCAGGGAAATCACTAGGAGCAAAGAGCCTCCCAGCGGCCACCTGCAGATCAACATTCTCGGGTATACCAGTTGCCCCTGCCAGGTCCCAGCCAGAGGAGGAATACATGTAGAATCCTGGACTGCAACTACAGCCTGTCCCGAGAGACCTCCACAACTGCAGCCCAGCCTCTGTCTCTCCCTTCTGATGAGTGAATGTGTCAAGCTGTTAGGGTTTAGATCTGAAGTGTCACTTCAAAGCCTCATGTGTGTGGGAGGCGACTGCACTGAGGGGGTGCTGCACTCCTCAGTGGATTTGCCCATGGATGTGTTCAAAGCTGACCATGCTGTGAGGAGGCGGGGCCTGGTTGGAGCGGGTCACTGAGAGCGTGGCCAGGAAGGGTGACTTCTTGTCCCGGGCTCTTGCTTTTGCCGATATTTCCGGGCAGCCCATGTGAGGTTAGGAGATTTCTTCCACCATGTCCTTCTTGCATTGCAGCCACCAGCCTGGATTGAATTCTGTAGAAGCTGTGACCCTAAATAAACCTCTCCTCCTTTAAGTTGTGGGTGCCTTGTTCCCAGTGTCAGGGAAGTGACTAAGACACCAACTATGCTTCCAACTATATATATCCACAAATGTCTACTTCATGTACCAGGATACATGCAAAAATATTCGAAGCAGCACTGGCATAATGGTCCAAAACCGAAACAACCCAAATGTCTACAGGGGTGGCATGGAGAAACATGTGCACGTACTGATATGAAAAAATACTACGGAATAACATAAAGCCATATTTAAAAACACAGATGACTAAGAAAGTAAAAATGTAATCCTGAGCCAAAGAAGCATGACTCTATAATTCATAAATTATAAGACAAACCGGAACAGGGATTATAAAATGTCAGGGTAATGGTAACCTCGAGAGAGTTGGAAAAGAAGTGTGACAACAGAAGCAAGAAACCTGGGTGTCTGGCAATGTCCACTTTCTTGTGCTGGACCATGGTACATGTTCATTTTAATAACAAATCATTTCATTGACATTTATGGTAGTGTTTTTATATTTTACAATAAAAAAGTAAAGCAGATGACCTTTTATAGTCACAGCCTGGTGAAACCTTGGAGACTATGATGATTTAAAAAATTTTGATGTCTGTGCCACACCCCAGGCCAATTAAATCACATATGTGGAGGCAAAATCTAGCTATTGGTGGTTTTAAATTTTCCCAAGTAATTCCAACGTGAAGGCAAGATTGAGAGTTACACTCACTCCCACTAAAAGAAACAAACAACAAGGCAGTGGGTTGACACAAATCCTCAGTAATTTGTTGATGACATCTGATGTTCATTCCTCAAATTCATCAGTTCATCTCATGACTATGGTATGGAAAAATCAAAACAGAAGAAAAGAGGTGCACTGCAGCTGGTAGCCTCCCCCACAGACCCTGGTGCCCTTGAATCACTTTTCCACCCTCATCCACCACCAGCTTCACTCGGGAGAAGTGAAGAGGGGGGAAGAATCAGGAACGATGGTGCACAAAACTGTCAGGAGCTGACGGCCTGGCACAGAGTGGCCTCCTTGTCACCAACTGGCCAGCGTCAAAACTTCCAATTATTTGACAGTAGCATTTTTCAATTGGCACCCAGGTTTGAAGTCTCATTTTACAACTGGAACAAGAGAGACAGGAAGGGAAAATCAGTTCGAATAAAGTTTCAGTGCGTTTTTTGCAATTTCTCGGAAGAGTGTTTGTTTCCACTCAGGATTACAAGAACAAAAAGAAAAACAGCTGATAGCTACTAGGGACTCACTCCGTGCTGTTCTTGGGGTTCTGCTATGTTAACTCACTGAGTCCTAACACCCCATGGGGCAGGTGCTATTAACAGCCCCCGATTTACAGGTGGGGGTGCTGACCTGAGCCCTGCGAAGATTACAAGACAGGTATTGTCGACTCTCAACACAGCATTTCTAAGCGAGGTCCAGGGGCCCTTTAGGACACTCACACTGTCAAAACGATGCTCCTAACAAAATGAAGAAGTCATGTGTTTGTCCCTTCACTCGACTCTTTCAGGAATATATATGACTTGTTAACGTCACAGCGCCGAGTGCGGAGGCAGGTACGGGAACCCAGCTGTCTTTCATTAGGCCAAATAGTTTCACCAAAGTGTTAAGCAATGACGCCCTCCTCGTTAAGTTTTTTCTTGTCCTGTTATGTTTTGTTTTTGGAAAACACAGGAATTTTCTCAAAAAGTATCTATGTAGACATGTCGAGAGTTATTTTTATGAGTCAATACATATTTAGTTTTTCCCCATGTTCACTT